GTCGACACCAGAAGTAAACAAGATGTCCTCTGGTGAGCTTCTAGATGAAGATTTGAAGAACATGTGATAAAAATGGACTTGGTTATCCCTCTCCTTCACACTTTAATAGTTTAAAAGTTGAAGTACAGTAAAACATTAAAAAAGTGTAAAATCCTCATGTGCAAGCGTGGGGCCCTGTTGCCGTCTCTCATTTCCGTTGTCATCTTCAGAAAGGGAACAAAGATCTGATCTAAGCGTTATTTCTCTGTCAGTATTTCATCACCAACCAATACTTCAGTATCTGTTCTTGCTTCATATCTGACCACACTCCGCCAAAATGAATGCAGTCCAAGTCCTGACTTGTGGCGCTCTGCTAGAGTTGACGCATCACAGAATGGATGGGAGTGCATGTTCCCGCTCTGTTCCTCTGCATCTTTCCAGGGCTGAGCATGAAGGGCTTGGTTACCCCACTACTGGTGTGCTAGGGTGCAGACTAGCCTGCACTAGCCCGGTGACTGGGCTTGTGCAGCCGAGGGAACTTGGTCACTAGCTGTGCCCTGTTGGCACTGGTTCCCGCAAGACTTAGTGTCGGAGCTGGTACTGTTGTTCAGAAAGGCAGTTAAGGTATCTTGTGGGTTCATGCTGACTGAAATCATTTGAGACCTTATTAACTCCATTGCTGCACTGCTTTGAACTCTTGTCACCCTGCACTGTGGATTCGGGTGGTGTTGCTTGTGATTAGTTATTGTTTTGGGCAGCTATTCTAAATTCTGTGTGGAATTTTATGTTACTGTTTGTCGCTTGGGTCTTGCAAGTCAAGTTGCCATTTTCAGTTATTCATGGTTCATTGATGCTGCTGTGTTAGTCCTGCTAGTTCGCCTAACACGGAGCTTGAGCCTGACCTGTCCTCCAGGTCATTTTCTAAACCAAGCTCAGCTCAATAGACCATCTCAGCAGTGAAGAGGAAGGTGGGGGGTGGGGGTGCTCTTCATGTTCAGTCACACAAGCAGACTTGACCTTGGAGACGTCACAGACGCACTGGTTTTATTCCTGCCTCTCAGTGTTTTAGGGAGAGAACAGTGAAAGCATAGCTCTTTATCTGTTAATTCCGTTATTAGATTGCCAGGATCACTTGAGAAATGTCTCTTAAAAGCTGATGAAGCTAAAGTGAAACACTGGCTAATTACAATGAACTACTGTATGCTATGGTAAGCACTACAGTCATTACTGTTTATGTATTGCTCTGAACTGTATTGAAGACAAAATGCCACAGTCTTTGTGTTTCTGTTCCAGCCAACATGCATGTATCCACCATGCTGGGACCAAGTATGTACAGGAATGGCACAGCGAGGTCCAGGTGTGGAATGCTGTGACAGGACCGTACAGTCCTGTGTGCTCTGTTATTGGCAGCAGCAGTGGGATCCCCTTGTGTACTCAGTGATGCTTATAGTCTACAACCTGAGCTCTCAGTAGTTCTGTTAAACATAGTGGTTCAAAGCACTGGCACAGCTGCGGTGATGTTACAGTAATACTTTGTTTGACTGGTTGTTATAGCACTTCAATGGCCGTTCCTTTCAAGAGTGTTTCAGGCAGTTGTGTTCAGAAACCAACAGTTATGACCCCACCACTGTAAGCAGTGATGATATGGCAGCACACACATTGTACTTGAGGAAGTCTTTCTAAATTTCATCTGGTGTGTGTAAAAGCACTGTCTTTCCATCATTTGCGTTCTTTAGACATACAAACTGGTGAACAGGGCTCAGTTTCCCAAGGGACTGTGCTGTTCATGTATCACATCAGAGGTGTGGAAACTCCAGTGCAAATGGTCAGATGGTAAGAGTCTGAGCCCTACTGGTGGACTCTGTTATATGACTCCAGCCCTAGGACACTAAGCCTTTACTGACAAATGGGATTTTTGCATGTTTTATTCCATAAAAACCCCACAGCAGAATTTCTAGAGCTGATGTGACAAAAGAGCCAAGAAAACAACTACAGTCCTGGAATCAAATTCCTGGTTTCCCTGCAAGTCCTTGCTTGACTCCGGGGCTCAGTTCCTACCTGTTCTCTCTCTTTGCAGTGGCATCCTGACTCACACCAAAGGTTTGTTTACTGTTCCCCACAACTCCACTGGTTAAATCACGTTTATTGAAGTGGGGAAAATCCCTGTTGTGCTGATTTGAAGGGGTGTTGAATGATTTTTAAAAAATGATCGGAGCTGGGCCTGTGTGGAGGGAGGGAGGAGAGGGAATGGGAGAAAGAAAACAACCTGGCGAGAGAGCCAGCAGCTATATCACCCTGCAACTCACAGCTGGCACACTATACTGTAAAAAAGTACTTTCCTTCAGATGAGATGTAAAACCGAGGTCCTGACTCTCTGTGGTCATTAAAAATCCACAGTGTTTCTCAAAGAGTAACCCTGGCGTCCTGGCCAAATTTCCCCTTGGCCTTTATCAGTCATTGCCTCCTAATAATCCCCAACTTTGAATTGGCTTCATCACTCTTTTCTTCTTCCCACTGGTGTGTAGTGAGTGTACTGGCACACTGTGGCTGCTGTCGCATCATCCTGGTGGGGCTGCACATTGGTGGCGGTGGAGCAGAGTCCCCATTACCTGTAAAGTGCTTCGAGTGCAGTGTCCAGTGTAAGGAATTGCTTAATTGTTTACCCAATTTCTTCTTTTCCCTGGTTGAGCTGATGATTCGTGTCTGAAGAGACCAGTGCATAAGCATAGTGGGTTGAGTGGAGAGGGGTGGGTTCACACATCCCCGTGAGTGTGTTGGAGGAGGATACAGGGCTACCTCACTGGGTGCAGGAAGAGGACTGATATTGCACAGGGGTGAGTGATCTGTTGCACTGGCTCTGATGAGGACAGGACTGGCCAGGTCAAAGCAGTTTCTTTGGTGCATGCAAAGGAATGAGTGCAGTGTTCTTACTGGGCCAGGATCTGCCTCATCTCTGTTGTCGCTACACCCTAGGATCTGGGGGTCTCTGCTCTGGGAGGGTGTGGGTGGTTCTGGTGTGGTTAGCGAGAGGGACTCGTGGATGATGTGTGGCTGCAAGGATCAGAGAGGTGCGGCTCAGGTTCTTCTTGCCAAAAATGTGAGGGCCTAACTATGTCAGAGCATGCCTAGCTTTTCCAGGGAAGGAGAGGGTGTGGGCACTCATCAGTCTGTTTTTATGTGTGGAGTGATGTCCATTGAAGTTCAACAGTATATCAATTGAAACGCACAGTTTTCCTGGGCTAATGACAGGCAGGGAGTTGTGGGACTGCATGCTCAGACTATTAAATTTTCTGAGAGGCTACAGTCCAGCTTGCCTTTGGGCAGCAGACAGGGAATTGTTGTTGGAACTGCATGACACAAATGTTTCCTTGCAATGTGGTTACACAGAAGCTTTATACAAAAGTGTGGTACTTAAGAAGAAAGCATCTCAATTTCTCTCGTTTGGTGATCATCTCCTGGAATAGAACAAGGAAATGCTTTGTGGAAGCAAAATGTTTCTGGATTTATTGCTTTGATATAAGGGAGTTTGACTAGCTCTGGTCACTTTAAAGAGGTGCGGGGTTGTCTGTGATCTGGGAGAGAGGACTGGTGTGATCTGCTGGTTGAAGGTTTAGTGAGCAGCAGCTGGAGCAGGTCCTGCACTCTGCTGTGTGTGTAAATACACAGCCTTTATCTAGACCCAGAAACGTGTCCACAATTGCAGTCCAATTTTCCTGCTCCCCTGTTGTGTGAAGCACTAACATCTCAGTACTCTGGCTTCATAGTTGCTCTCAGGTACCTGACTGTAGGAGTGAAGTGACTTTCCAGCAGCTCTTGACATAGCTGGGAGAACAGTAGCTGTAGCAGAAGCAGGAAGTAAAGGACAGTTAGGAGCTCAGTGATCTTGGGAAGTACTACAGCCTGCTTCCTGTAAGATCCCAGGGAAGGATGTTTCTTTCTGCACCCTGAAAGCTCTATGTTGGAAGAAAGGGTGACACTGGACGATGCAGTACGCTTAGTCTTGGCCACTTCACGACAACGGTGAAGTTTGACTTTGTCCCTCCATGGCAGCATCTGCGTTCCTCAGTCAGACCTTTGCTTAAATGTATTGTTGATGCCAGCAGGACCAGATCCAGGACAAGCAGGAAGGCTAAATGATCCCAGATGTTCCTTTGTACTTCCCAAGAAAATGTACTTGAGAGAGGGCTTTGATTTATTTACTTCTGGGCTGAATTTGTTCTGCTGTCTGAAGAGTCCTGGGGTAGTTGTATTGGATATTTAAAACTGGCAGCAGTACGTGCTTGTAATTAGGGAGACCAAGCTAAGCACTGTAATGGGATGTAAGGTGTAATCCTCAAGGTCCAGACAGACACAGTTCTGTATCTCAAACTGTATATGCTCATGGTACCAGGAAGTCTGCTGCAAGCCCGTGAGGGCAGTACTGGCTATATAGTAGTACAGGATTTATGAGGGTAGGTCATGTGTATCTTTTGTAGAATTTCTTAGCTGTTTGAGATAATAGCTGGTCAGCAGGACATTGGCATGCTTTGCTTGCAGCCTAAGATAATCAGGACTAGAACATCTGGATTCAGTAGTGTGGGATTTAATGAGGCAGGATGCCAGAGTGGTAGATATTGTATGTGAGGCATGAAGGATCAGACAGTTCTTGATATTGGGTTATCTCAACCCCCATCTTTGCATTTCATTTCAGTTGAAGTTGGAATCGTGCAAACCCAATTTGTTATAGCTCCCTTTGCAGCTGTTTGCCACAGAGCACTTGACAGAATCATGTAACACTTAACACCGATGTATGGCAGTGATAACAAATTGAAGAGACGGGCTTGCTGCGAAGCGATGTGCAGAATTGTTTCTTTTTTCCTCAACCCTGACAAGCTCCAGCTCCGCGACCGCATTAATAAGGAGAGGATACAGCTGTGGCCAGTGCAGATGGTCTTTCCAGACCGCCGTGCCTTGACGTGAGGGGCGCGTGGCCAGGCGGAAGGCGGCAGTGCAGTCACGTTGTGCTTGTTCTCTCCCTGCAGGTCAGGCACAGGATCACTGGCCAGGTGATGGTGCTGAAGATGAACAAGCTGGCCAGCAACAGAGCCAACATGCTGAGGGAGGTGCAGCTGATGAACCGGCTGTGCCACCCCAACATCCTGAGGTCAGCTTGACCTGCGATGACCATCTCTGAAGGGCTCATAATTGAGATATGATTTAAGCGCCACCTCATGAGCACAGTGTTTTCAGTCCTGCTGTTGGTTACTGACCTGGCACCTACTGAGGTCATTTCAGCTATTAACTGCCTTAAAGTCTGATTGACAATGAAAATAATCTGTGTGTTTCCTGTAAAATCTCTGTCCCCACCGGAACATTTTAAAATATACAAGTTTGATGGTTAACTGCCTAATGTTAATCTGAAACGGTTTTTCACTTTGTAGCTCCTCTTGGGACTGTAGTCTCAAATTTGTGCTTTTCATATGTCAAAACTCGCCTCTCTGTCAATCTGTGAGTTTTCAGAAAGGCTCCAGAAATGAACTGGTGGCGCTCAGTACTGGGAATCCCAGTCACAGTTCGCATGACCCAGGCTTATACGTGGAGCTCATTCTGCACTCGGGGTACAAAGGTTTTGGTTGAGTCTTATTAGTTCTTTTAAAAAATCCAATTAACTACAAGAATTAACTTGGAAAGAACAGTTGCATGTTGACTTGCCTTGACTCGGCCGTACACTGGTGCTTTCTCGTTGGCACCGAGTTTCTCCCGGGCCTTCCCTGACACACTGGCATACTGGCATGGCAGCTCTGGACACTGACTAGCAAAGGTAGCTGCTGGCTGCAGACATGGTTTGGAACTGTGCCCTTCAGCACACTAATGTTGTTCTTTCTTCCTCTTGACCCCGTCTGTGTCTGCAGGTTCCTGGGGGTGTGTGTTCACGAGGGCCAGCTCCACGCTCTCACCGAGGTACTGTCCTTGGGGCTGCAGCCTCTCTCCCTTGGGCACGTCACTGCTCTGCACGGCAGTAAAACAGGGCTCTTCGAAAAAAGACGTTCTATATGGTCAGACAGCACTACATATGACAGCTCACTCGCTTGTTTGTAGTGGAGATTACTTGCACTTTGTGCTGCTTACAGATTACATGGTGGACATTAAAATGTTTTCAGCACTATATAATTTCTTTAAAAAGAGAATTTCAGAACCTTTGCCAGTTATTACACATAGATTGGCACTGGTACTTAGTGTAGCACCAGACTGGTGGACTTGTAACTGGGAGGCTGTGGGATCTAAATGGGAGTTCTGGGTGGAACACTGCTGTCATGCCCTTGAGCAAGGTGCTTCACTCGGATTGCTGTAATAACATCCCCAGCTATGTAAAATAAAACACTGTGTGGTGATACTCTTGAGCCTTTCAGTAAATCCATAATAGTAATAGTAAATGTTTTAGAAGGTGCAGTTCATGCTTTTTACGTTAACTGACCTGTATTCTTCTGTAGCTTTCCAAGAATGTAACCTGATTGGATTTGAAATGAGACTGAAGGGGACAATAGCTCTGTCCTGACTCAGGGCTCTACTGCAGTGTTCAGTTCTGAGTAGCTCAGGCAGCTGGTCTCTCAGAACAGCCGGAGGCTCTGCTGCCTCATGAAAGATTCAGTAGGCAGGTGTATCATTTTTCATTCAGCAAAGCAAAGAGCATCCTTTGTCACCTTTGACCCGGACACTGTGTGACTGATTGGCCTAGGCACTGTCACTGTCTCCTTGTCGCTAAGTGTGTCACTGTGGCAGTGTTTCACTGCAACCCTACCCTGGTGTTTTACTAATAGCAGGTCTCTACCAGGTCTCTAGTGTTACTTCAGTGGGAAACATACTGTTCCTGCTTGGATTATTGCAGCACAAACAAGAGAGACGTGGTGTTCCTGCTCTGATAATCGTGGTTTATTCTTATCTCTCGGGGCCCTCAGAAGAGAGTTACATAAACCCACTCTTCACTATTCCAGTTAAAAGTTAAGAGAGAACGTGACAGTGTCTGTCACTCTGTTCCTGCCAGTGTTTTTCAAGTTAACGGTTTGTGTTTCTGCAGATGAGTGATCGTGGTTGGTTTTCAGCTCTGTTCTCCAGAAAGCTGTACAAGTGGAATTGCTGAGAACAGTCAAGAGATTGCTGGTTGTTCCAGGCACTGGTGGTGGTTTTTTGGATTAAAGGGACAAGTCCAGAAAAAAGCAGTTCATCCTGTTGTTTTAATGAAGTAAAAGTTTTTTTCAAGCTTTACTTGGTTGATTAATGATTAGCAGTTTCTAAAGCTTTTCAAGCATTCATTGAGGATACCCCCTTTTAAGATTTTACTGAGTTAAATGGTGTTTATTGCACTTTATTAGCATCTTTGTTGTGTGTGACTCTGTACTAGTGTGATTTGTTGTGGATTTTTGTGAAACCAGGGCTCCTCTGGGTTACGATGGCTCCTGCTGTGCTGTAGCCCTGTTCTTTTGCAGTCAGGGTCATATCGCCTGGGGCAGTGAACAGTTAATTACCCACAGAGGTGCTCAGGTGGTCTAAGAAGAGTGAGACCATCCCTTGGGGGTCAGATAGAGGGACAGTCGTGCCCCAGCGGTCTCCCTTTTGCTGAGCCTTCATTGTTCACTGCAGTGTATCACTGTAAGGTTATTGTTCCTGCCACTCATGTTGTTGCAGTACATTAATGGCGGGAACCTGGAGCAGCTGCTGGACAGCGATGTGTACCTGTCATGGGCGGTGAGGATGGGGCTATCTCTAGACATCGCGCGGGGACTGCAGTACCTGCACAGCAAGGGCATCTTCCACAGGGACCTCACCTCCAAGGTACAGCCTACAGGCACTTCATGACGCACTGTGCACGTTAAAACATTCACTGCCAAGCCACACTGTCTATACATACAGTACCTCACAGACATGTCATGCACTCTGTATAAAGACATGTCTCAATAATGCATCTGGTCACTTTGTATATACTGTACTGTACGTACTCCACACAGCTATGAACACAGGAAAGGTTACAGTAAAGAGGAGGCCATTCAGGCCACCTAGCCTGTTTGTTAGTGCTTAAGTAGTCCAGGGATCTCATCCAGCTGTTTCTTGAAGGAAACCAGGGTATCAGCTTCATATACAGTGTATAAACACTTTTTTTGCAGTGTATATACAGACAGAGAGGAACCTCCCTCTGTGTATATAAGCACTTCAGACTATTCTTCTGCAGACATGCACAAGTCTAGGTGAGGACAATGACATATCCGAAGAAAACAATGTCTAATGTTTGATGGGTACATCTTCACTGCCATTCTTTTGTTTCACTCGTGCACATAAAAATTGTGTCCACTTTTACTGAAATATGAGGCTTTGGACACTACCCATTCTCAATGGAGCCCAATGCAGGTGAAGGCTGGTGTTCGCCAGCCCTGTTGTACTGTATATCTGCTCTGTCCACAGAGATACTCCTTCATTCACCCACATTGGAACTCCTCTAATGAACTAGATGTGAAGATCTCAGGAGCCTCTTCATTTTGTCTCCAGTCTTCTCCTCTCTCTTTGTCCTCCTCTTTTTTCTCTCTCTGCCATGTCTCACTCCTCCTCCTCTCTCTGTCCCTGCAGAACTGTCTAGTGCGCTGTGAGAATGGGCTCTTCACTGCTGTGGTGGGAGACTTCGGGTTGGCAGAGAAAATCCCTGACTACAGGTCAGTCTCCTCCCATCCTAAATAGCAACAGCAAATCAGCGTTCACATTACAAGTTTTGTTGGGTTTGCGTCTCTTGACTGTGGAATACTGCTCCACTCCTGACCTCTTGGATTGTCATGTAGCTCTGATGGCTTATGCCTCTCTCTCTCCCATACATTCTCCTCTCTCCAGGCTGTCTGCAGACTTGTGAGCACTTTATCCGTTCAGGTGGTTTGTCATCGACCAATACTGCATAAAGTGTTGCCTCCATGCAGGATATGGTGCCATTTACGCTTCTTTGCCAAGATGCCAGTGGTCCAGATGTTGTCTTTGTCTTCCCTCCAAGGCTGGTGGCTGAGCTCTTTGAGAGCCTGCCAGCAGATGGCGCTGTTTCAGGGAGAGGTCTGGGCTTCGAAGTGCTGTGTGGCGGCGGGAAACAGGGTGGCCGCTGTTCAGTTGGGACAGAGAGCATTGATGAGAAGAAGCCCAGGGCGAGGTCTTGACTCGGCTCCTGGATTGGTGGAGGTGTTTGCAGGATTTTTGGGAAGCCTTTGCTTTCCCTTGTATTGTAGTCAGGTACATAATTTACATTCAGGTGTGTAGCTGTGTCAGCATGCTACGCTGTGAACACCTCTCTACCTCTCACACCTGAAGAAGGCTCCACGGCTGAAACGTTGTGTTTTCTTTCTTCTTTTTTTCAGCATGGAATAAACCTATTGTTCCTTTACATAACTTGCAACTGACTTGGTCAAACGACATTGTCACTAATTCTCCATCTGATTTCTCTTGTTGGCTTTGTGTTCTGTGAGTGTTTTCTGTGGCATACAAATTCTATCAAAAGAATTAGTTCCAGGGTAAGCTCCTTGCCACACTGATTTCGGACTCCTTTAAGTAAAGCCTGCTAGGATGTTTGAAAGAATCAGTATGTGTGTGTCTGTGCTTTGCTCGTTTTTGTGCTCTGCTAGTTCACCAGCTCCCACTCCATGTGCCTGTTACTTTCTGCGTCTGTCACATCACACACTGCACTGCTGGCCTTGCCTGTGTTTGGAAACAGCTAGCAAGTTCCTTAGTCATTCAGCCTTTCTGACACCCAATGGGTTCCGTCTTAGAATCTTAGAGTTAAATGTTTCTAACGTGTCCGGAACAGGCTGATTGATCTGTAATTCCTCTTGGCGCTGCAGCTCAGTGCTACTCTGTTCTTGTCTTTCGGTGTGTATACCCTTGCATTCCTCTTCTGTGAGGAGGGGAGCGAGTCTGTTCAGGTCGCAGGCTGGGTGCAGGTTTGATGTGTAACGTTTCTGCTGGACGCAGTGTTGATCAGGGGGAAGTTGGGGGTGTGTGGGGGGGGGGGGCGGGGCACAGTCTGGGGAGGGCCAGCTGAGTGTTTGGATACATATCCAAATATGGAGAAACTATTCCACACTGCATGCACACTTTGTCTGCTCAGTGCTGTTTTCATCCGCGTTTCCCAGAAAGGGTATTCTTGGGCCGGAGCTGGCTTTTCCATGCAGCTCAGTCTCTCTGATGAGCCCTCCTCACTCTCGCTCTCTTTATCACCAACAGTAGTTGTGGTTTGATAACGAAAATAAATGCACAGAAACAGGATCTTACCCCACCACCACCATCACCCTTCTCTCTCTGTCTCTCTTCCTCTCTCTCCCTCTATCACGCCGACAGCATTTGTCTCGGCTGCCCAGTGTGCTCTTTTTCCTCTTTTACTGCTGTGTAAATCCGTCAGTGTGTCTGGGCTGGTGGATGTGATGGATGGCAGGTGTCAGTGACAGCGTATGACCTTTGCGCAGTGACTCTTGTCTCCGAGCCATCTCCCTCAGAAAGGAGACTCAGAGCCTGGCAACAGGCTCATCAGGAGCTCTGTTACTTTACAGAGACCTGCCAGATAATTTGGAGCTTATCTCCAAATCTTTTGAGTAGTGTAGTTTTTCCACATCCTGTGGTATCGGGTCTCCATCTGAACATCTGCATCGGGCCATGCACATGCAGATATAGCTGTACAAGTACTCTTCTGTGTGACTCTGCTCCCTTCCAGTACTTGGTCATGTGCTGCATGGTCTTCCTTCAACATTTATATCGAAGGCCAAAGCAGTAAAACTGTTGTCACCCCCCTGTGGATATTTAAAAAACAGCATTAAAAACATAACAGATAGGCACTCGCTATATTTTTAGTGCCTCTCACTGTACGAGATGAAGAACAGCCCTTGGAGAGTGAGTCAGGACAGGCTTGTGTATAGGATAAGCACTGTGTCTGCTTGGTAGAGCTGTGGGGGTATACAGCAGTTCTACAGCCCTGTGACCTCTCTAGATGTTACGGCATCTGAAGTAGGATGAATTGAGTTTCATGAATAGAGCATTAGGGTGGCATGTTGGAGCACTGGTTGTGTGTGGAGTTTGTATGTTCTCCACATTTTCACATGAGTTTCCTCCTACAGTCCAAAAACATACTGGTATGTTAATTGGCTGGGATGAGTGTGTGTGTCTGTGTTTGTATGTGTCCTTTGATGGACAGGCATCCTGTCAAAGGTGTATCTTGCCTTTTGCCCTTTGCTTGTTGGGTTAGACTCTGGCATCCCCAGCAGCCCTGTACTTTATAAAGCAGTTAGAAAACAGTAGCATTATTATGTGTGTACCAAAAAGATGAGTGAGACGGAGGATGTGGTAGGGTATTAATGTATCAGAAATACACAGAAACTAATACAAGAATCATGTTTCAAAATGGTCAAACACAGGTCAAACTCTGTAACTTAAATTCTTCATGAGAAGTATGCTGTAGACTGCTAGAGAAATAAAGAACATTTTACAAAGTGAAGTTTACCTGTTACAAAAGACAGACAATAGTGGGGAAATTGAGTTTCCAAAGAATGTTTGAAGAAAGCAGACGAAACCACATGTTGTAGATTACTGTGAGCCCTAAACTGTCTGTGTGTTTAAATGCTAATGGCAAAATTTTAAGTGTTCTGTTTCTTGTCGAAAATGCTTGTATTTCACACTGTTGGCCAGGGCAGGTATAAATCTACGACTCTGGCCGCGGTATGAAGTCAGCGACGCCAGAGTTCTCTGGCAATGTAGCTTCGGCAAAAAGTGGTCCACTGACAAATAGAACATCTCAATCTTGGTAACCTTTTCATATTTATTTGAGTTAAAGTAATTGCATAAGTGCTCTTTTCTGGTCTGTGCATTTATACATGTGGCAACATCAGGATAAATTATCCCCAGCACCTTATCCTGCCCTGGAAAAGGCCAGAATGAGCCAGCAGGATGTTGAAGCTTGTATGAAATCTTCTTGTCGGGTGTCATTATGCTTTCTTAACATGCCTCGAAAGTTGCATTTATAAATGTGAAGAGGTGAAAAAACGCAAGGTTCTGGTGATAGAGGAGGCTGTATCTCAATCATCGGCCACCAAGAGGACGATCTGTCCTCTTCTCGAACCACTTATTAAACAATCATTCCATTGTGCAGCTAAATCATCTCAGTCATTTAACTACTGCAGTTTATATGCACAAGGATGTGATCTATGGCTGTTGACACTTAATCATGTGTTTATCCTCTAGTCACAGATTATGCATCGATGGATTTAGCTGATAGTTGGGCATATGTATAACATGTCAACAGAATAGTTTTGCTCTGAAGAGATATATTAAAATTATTGAAATGAGAAAAGTGTCATAACAAGCTACAGCATGCTGTTTCGAGCTGTATAAAACAAAAACTAATAGGCATTTCCAAAGAGCGTGTAAATGTCACAGCTTGGTGAAAGAGTCCAGGTGATGTATTTTGCTGTTAAATCTAATCAGTGACAGTTGGTTGGCCCGTTCCATCATGGATTAAGGTTGCTACGTGAAAACTTGCCTGTACAAAGCAACACTTCTCTTGGCATTTACAGAATTGGAATCAACAGACAAATATTGTTTAGCTTCATGTTAAGCTAGAAAATAATTTTTGAGCTTCATTTGTAAATCCTCCAAACACATTCCTTCTGCCGTGTTTGTTAATCTGGATTTCTATTCATCCCCAACGTCTGGAGTAGTCTAATGGTAAGTGATCTTCATTCATGCTGCTCCCTTGTTTTGGGTCAAATATCTTGGCTGATTTGAGAAATCTGTGAGCTTGACAAAACAAAACATGTTTTCTTTAATTGATCCGTGTTGAAAATGAGCCAACAGTTTTTCAGCAACTTCGCTAAAGGCTTTAACACAATTAAATGTCAGTTGCGTGTCTGTACTCTGCCATTCAGGTATGTTCTTTAATTTTACAACAGAATTGTGTTGCACAAGGCATGTGTAGAGCACAGCCTTTCTGTTCCATTTAATCTCCAAAATTTACTTTCCTGCTTGGGCAATGTTAAAGTTTTTTTTAAGGGTTGCAATCGGATTAACATAAAAAAACTTGCCTGCTGTGGACGAACTATTTTCCTATCTATTACCTGCAGGCATTACATGTTGGGTATACTGTTATTGTTGCAGAATGTCATTGTATGCCTTGATCATACAATGAGAAGTCATTCTTGGAGTGCAGAGAAGCTGTTAGAACCGGTCACGAATATCTCATTGTCCTTGTAAAAAAAAATCTTAGAGATCTGTAGGTTTGAAAGCTGCTACAAATATGCTTAGACAGTTTGATCAGTTCTTGTAAGCTGGCTGTTTGTGGTAAACACTCCTTCCCTGGTTGACCTGTTGTAGGAATTGCTGCTCTCTTAATACATTTTTTTTGAGAAATGCTACACATCTTGGGATGGTGGGCTTTTCCGCCTGTAATGCAGCTGTAGTACAACTGTAGTGCATCCGAAGACCCCTGTCTGGTTTGGTAAATTACAGCCTCCCAGAATTCCAAACTCTTTCCCTCGCTGTCTTTACAGAGGACTCCCTCGAGTGTCACACACGGCCTTTCATTTTTTGTGCATTTGTGATTTGGAGTGTTTGTGTATTCTTAACTTTTCAGTGTGTTCCAGGTCTCACAAATATGTTGGTGTGCAGTTAAACAATGTATATACACTTATTTAAATGCTTTTGTTGTCTTATTACAGTTTTTGTGTTTCAGTAGGGGGGTATGCCTCAGTTAAGGTTTGTGTATGTGGGGGAGGGTGTGAATGAAGGATTGTGTGTATTTTGGTGTGGGGGGAATGAGTTTCAGTTGTTTCCATAAAACCAGCTTCACCATATTGCACTATAACATATTGGATTTTATGGTACTGTTATTACTGTTTTGTGCAACAAGCTTTGATTTACCTGTGTAACTTCATGCCAGTAAAGGCCATTCTGACTCTGGGTGTGTGTGTGTCTGTGTGTGTGTTATGGTATACCGCAGACAGAGGAATGTGGCCAGTTTTCATTCCATAAACCAGTGTTTCGGTGCGTCACAAAATTCTAATTTGTTTCATTTTCCAGGGAATGATGAAGATATCTATCTGTTTTTTGTATTCTGTTGTTGGTAACCTGACAGACTTGGCTGTGTGCCCTGATGATCTACCAAATTTCCCAAAGGCCTGATCTCCCGGAAACAGGCTAGTTTCTGGTCTCACTCAGGCATGTCTGTCACTCACAGAGTGGCAGCTGATATCACAATGATCCTGCCAAGCAGCATCTATGTGGAGAGAGGGGCCTGCACTGGTACACATCTGCACTAACACCTTGCCCTCTTGCGTGAGCATGGCATCTCCCTGGGCTCGCTCATGCCTCGAGCTGGCCTACTGTGGCAGGGGTATGTCCCTGGGCCCCACACCTTGCTGCACTAGTGTTGTAGACCTTGAGACAGGTCCTCAGTGCCAGCAGTAGGTGCTAGTGCAGTTTCCTGGTGGCTTAGAAAGCCCCATGCTCTTTCTCTGCTAGTGTTGTTTACCTCTGGAAAACAGCACCCTGATGTTCCGATAGTCTAGTAGCGGTTATAGCTTACTGTATGATATGCAAGATAGTTAAGTCGACATTCAGAAATAAACTGAATCATAACTGAATGTTTGTTTTGTAGACCAAAGTATTAGATGTCTACAAACAGGTAAGCCGGGTAAAGCTGAGTAATAAACGTGTTAATTCATTCATTGGGCTCCTCTGTTCAGCCTGTCTGGGTGCTGGTGGCCGATTTCATTCAGCTGCTTCTTGAAGGAACTTGCAGTGTTTTAGCTCTTCATGGTTCACTTCTTTTGCACCTCACTTTGAACTACTTTCACGTTAATGCTAGAGGTGGATGATTACAGTGATGATTATTTTTACAATGTTTAGTATTTTTCCTGCATTTTTGGGGGGGATTTCCATAACCTGCGAGATTGTGTTCTGCTACCACGGGGAGCAACACTGTGGACAAATAGAGTTGTGGTGAGGGTACAGGACGGAGGCGCTGAGTCCTGTTGTCTTCTCTCTTGCAGTGAGGGTGTGGAGAAGCAGCCTCTGGCCGTAGTGGGCTCCCCCTACTGGATGGCTCCAGAAGTGCTGAGAGGAGAGCTGTACAATGAGAAGGTATAAGAGCAGATGAGTCTAAGAGATGCTGAGGCTTTTTGTTTTGGCTGGTGAGAAACCAGGCAGAAATGGCCAAATGTTTTTAAAAAGCACAGCTCTGGGCAGAAGCTGATCTAGGCAGATCTGCTCGGGAATGTTTCTTATTCATTTTCTTTTTACAAATGACACAAAAGGAGAGTGTAAACTAGGGCTGGGCGATATGGCCAAAAACATTATCATGATAAAAATGTTCATATCAGTCGATATCGATAATTATCACGATAAATGTCAAATCATTATCTCTTTCAAGTTTAAAGGCAGATTTTTTCTCCTGAGTGAAAGTTGAAGAAACCAGACAGTTAATTGGTAAATTAAACAACTCTTTATTTTAATAACACAACAAACACTTGCCAAACAGCAGAATCATTAAACAAATCTGAGGTAGAGAGTATTCAAGTCTTTTTTTATGTCAAAATATGCATGAGTAAAATTTACAAAATAAATATCTTAATAGAAAAATTAAATACTGCAGTGTGATAAAACACAATAGAAGATGGCTAAGACAGACTGCAATGTTTAAAGTGCTCTGTTTTATGTCTGATCATAAAAGGCCAAAATATCTCCAAATTACCAACAAAGTTGAATGACCTTTTCTGTTGACGATGTCACTTTCCTTCGAGCTGGTCGTTGGCAGCACTACATTTGCTTCAGTGTCGCTCATTTCTCCACTCTAACTACAGTCCTGTCAGCCACCACCGTGTGGGTAAACAACACCACGTTAGCTGCCCAGTCTGCAACACGCACGCGCACTCGCGCAGTATTTTGCGCAAAGCATAAACATATATATCGAACATTTATCGAACTTTTGTTAAAAATATATTGCTGAAAATTATATCGCGATAATTAACGTTATCGAATTATCGCCCAGCACTAGTGTAAACTCTTCATTCTTGGGAGCGTAGGTAGGAATTACTGTATGTCTTTGCCCAACCAGAAACTCTAAATTGTTTAATTATATGCATCTTAAATGCTTACCAAATATAAATGAATAACTGATGAAGAAAGCCTGGTCAAGGGCAATTCTGAGAAGCCTTAATGAGCTTGGAAGGGATGATGCTGGTTATTCCTGCGAGTCTAGAGCCCTGCAGCTCCTGTGCAGCGCAGGCGGGTGGGAGACACCTGGGCCAGGTGAGGCCGTGAGCTCGGCATGCAGCAGAGCAGGGGAATCCACATCAGTGTCCAGACTGGTGACTGTGCTCTGTGTACCTCCAGGCGGATGTCTTTGCCTACGGGATCATCCTATGTGAGATCATCGCTCGGATACAAGCCGATCCGGACTTCCTCCCACGCGCTGAGGTATAGCTTGATAGAGCAAAGGGTGGGATACATGGAGGGGAGATACAACCTGGAAAGTAAAGACTTCTAATAGGAGAGTTGAATTACCTAGTACAAGCACCAGGACTGGCTACATTCCAGCTTCCCATCTTTCGGCCTTGGCTGGAGAACTGAGAGTCCAGGACCCATCCTGTTTCAGGAGCAGGCGGGGCTACGCTTCGCAACTCGGCAGAATATCAGCGTCCGCACTTGTGTTTGTGCAATGTTAATAGACAAATATCAAATGATGTTGACTGTGGTTTGGCATGGATTAGAAAAGCAGTTAAGTCCCTTCAGGGTGTCTGTCTCAATCCCTTCCCAGGGGTTGTGAAATATCGACGCCCTGACTCACTCAAATCCTTGGCATTAAATGCATTTCAGCCCACAGGTAGAAATGTTGGCTGCACAGGTATCCGTGCTCCATACTCTCAGGACTTGTGTGTTTTGCGAAACTCTCACACATGTTTACGTAGTCTGGGTCAGTTCGTTACCTATGGTTGCATTGGATAGCAGGCTGAGGGCAAACATAAACTACATGGAACTGTGCTTGGCTTAAAGAGTTGAAAGAAAAATGTAGAAATTAAATGCCCAGTGTCACAAAGATGAGTTGAAATTATCTCCAGAAAAACTTTTGCCCATTTTGTTCCAAGCACAAGTGAGTTTTTTTTTTTTATGCTGTGGGATCAAACAATAAGTGATTCTTTGACTTCTCAGATGAGGTAGTTGTAGACTCACCTGTCAGCACAGCACCGTGAGTGGCTGTGGGAGCAGCTCCACCTGCTGGTGACTTGGTGGCACTGAGGCCATGTCAATGGAATGAGCTGGGAAGCTGTAGCTGTACTGTACACTGCTGTGTATACTGGTTATCTATTCTAGAGATGTGTTTCTAGCACAGAAAAGGATAATAGGGAAGTGATAGAGGAAGGTAAGACTATGAGTAAAGGCTTGGCCTGGTAGGCCATAGACTGCACGTACTCACAAATTCCCCCACCGTCCCTTGTTAAGATAGGACCATAATTTAAAATTGAGCTCACTGAGTAAAGACAGAGTAACAGATAGTGTTTACATTGTCAGTTTCTCCTTGGACACTGAAGTAATGCTCTTATATTCCTCTACTCTGTCTCCCTCACTCTCTCTCAGGACTTCGGTCTGGATGTAGAGTCTTTCCAGCACATGGTCGGTGACTGTCCTCCCTGCTTCCTGCAGTTGGCTGTGAACTGCTGTAATGTAAGGGTGATCGATTCCTCCACGCCTCTCTCGCTGGCCCCCTGTTACACACAGGGACTCCCCTGCGCCTCTCACTGAAATTGGAATGTTATCACAATGCTGTGCACCTGGTCCTCCTGTCTCTCCTCCCCGATGTATTCCTGTTGATCTGTGTCTTTTCTCTCCATACTGTCCTCCCTGTCTCGCTCCCTCTCTCAGATGAGTGCAGACCAGCGTCCCTCCTTCTCCGACATCGTGGTGGAGCTAGAGAGGAGAGAGCGAGAGAAGCAAATTCTGAAGGAGGAGAGCAAGGAGCCTGCAGCAGGAGGTGGGCCAGTCTGGTTAAGTGGTGCTGTGCTTGCTGACACTGATACACAGCTTAGTACAAAAATAAGTGATTTTAAAGTACTGCTGTGTTTGCCCCTTAGTTACAGTCCAGTCTGCCAAGTTTCAATGACCTGTAGTCTACGGTATTGGTAGTCAGCTGGGAGTGAACATATTCCCTGCCTCTCTCCTTTTTCTCACAGATGGCAGCCCGGTGAGGCCCCTGGTGGCCCCTGGCTCCAGCCCGGCTCGGCGGCGCTCTGTAGGCCTACCACATGACAGGGGGCTGTCCCGCAGCCAGTCAGACATGCTGCCCCCCAACTCTCCTCCCCTGCTCTCAGGCACGCCTGCCCGGGTCAACCCCTTCTCGCAGCGCCACGATCTGAACGGCGGCAAGATCAAGCTGTTCGACACGCCCAGCAAGTCGGTCATCTCTCTGACCTTTGCCCTGCCTCCGCCCCCTGATCCCTTCACTGGGTCCTCCCCCACGCCCCCTGATCTCTGGCAGGACTCCAGAGGAACCCCCCGCCGCTGTCGCTCACTTCCCTGTACCCCTGAGCTACCCCGTCCTCTGCGCCCTGTTGTGGCCCCCACTGAGAAGCAGGGTACCCCGGGACAGCAAAGCAGGGGGGTGATGATTGTCAGTACCTTCCAGGACAGAGAGGGCAAAGGACAGGAAATCCCAGAGGATGTTGGGCAGATGTTTGGGCCGGGACACTGGGATGAGCCCATCAGGAGGCAGCCTGCTGTGAGGCCTCAGGACATCGGGGGGAGAGGGCAAATAGCACAGGATCTGGGTAGCGGCGGCGAAACGACAGAGGATTCTGGGACCCCTGTGGATCTGGAGCTGGTGTCCCTGGAAATGCTGGGGGAGGGTGAGCTGGAGACCCTCTGCTTGGGGGAGCCCATGGACTGTTCAAGCAGCCCGGACACCCTGGAGGGCTCTGTCTTCCTGGAGGGGACCCCTGCAGGCCAGACCTGGCTCACTCCTCCCTCCCCATCATCCTCCATCCTGGCCAACGGCTGGGAGTCGCCGGTCTTCAACGGCCCGCCCTCGCTGCCCCCCCTCCCTCCCCTTGACAACAACAACACCACTGTTGTGGTCAGCCGGCCATTGGGCTGGGGGGGCAATGGCTACCATGGCCACACTGGAGGCCCAGCCTATCCATTGCACGGGTCCAGCACAGCCACCCTGGAGCAAGATGAGGTCATTTCCTGTCCGGGCTGCTGTCTGGCAGGGTTCAGCTTCCCCTCCGCCTGTCTGCGCCCCTCCCGGAGGAATCCCCCCCCCTACAAGAACTTGAACGGAGAGGCAGCACGAGGGCTACTGTGTCGAAACGCCAAGACCTTGGGACCCTCTCAACATACCCCCGGACACAGCGCCGAACCCAGCCTGCCCCTACCAGAGGCGCAGACGTAGAGAGGCACCACTTGGTGCTTCAGGAGGTGCTCTGGAGGTCCAAACTGCTGTTGTTCTTGGTATAAATATTGGTCTCTTGTTCATATTTTCTCTGGGGTGGTGAAATGTAAACTGGCTCCTGGACTCTGGGTGACTGTACCTGTGCAGCATATTCGGTTAAGAGGCAGAATTTCCTCAGGAGTTATAGCAGGAGTGAGAGAGGAGATGAGAGGGAGGGATTTTCCAAGAGCCTGAGAGAAAATTGTTAACTCCAGGGTCCAGCACTGTCTCTAAGTGGAGGATTCAGCCCGTTCACTCCCACGTGTCCCTCTGAGTAGCTTTGCTCCTTGACGAACCCCTGACAGGTGATCCTTGAGTGTGGAGACCCCAGCTCAGGAGAGACAGACTTGTCTGTCTGGTATCATTAATGTGAAACCAAAGTCCAGGGTCACTCTGGCATTGGTTTTGTTCGTAGAGTAAACCATTAGTGCAGTGCTATTCAGATCTACTCCTTAATGTCCAGAAGGTCACTTGACAGGCTGGAGACAGTACTGCAGGAGGGGGTAGGAGCAGGAGCCAAGCATTGCTTGGAGAAATATCGAATGCAGGCATAGAGGAATGGAAAATGGAAAGGAAACTGAGACATAAAGCATGTACTCCACAGTGCCAGGGTCCACTTGTATGCCTTCCAGGGCTTTGTTGTCACACTCCTCGCACTATTCACTCCTTGTTCTTTAGATACAAAGTGCTGGTTTCTGGCCACTGAAATAATTTACTAGAAGATGAACTATTGAAACTGCAATTTATTGGTGTATGACAGAAAAGTGGTCAGTGTGGCATGAAAAACTTATTACTCCCACTTTATAGTACAGATTGCACTCTTTTTCATGCCACACAGTCCATTTAGGTTAACCAGCTGGCTCTATGCTATGTATCGGTGACCCAGTCCTGGCACTGCATACTGTAGCTCTGCCCACAGTCTTGCTGACTGAGCACCAAACACAATTTGCCCAGGGACTGGGAATGACCATTCATGGCATTGCATAGCTCTGCCTGTAGTCTCAGATCCAGTACTATACAAATCTGGCCACAGTTTGGGAGTAACCTACTCCTGGCTCTGCACAGCTCCGCCCGCCTGCAGTCTCTGTGACCCAATCGTGGCTCTGCACAGCTCCGCCCACGGTCTTAATGTCCCAATCATGGCTCTGCACAGCTCCGCCCACGGTCTCCCTGACCCAATCGTGGCTCTGATCATGCTCTGCCCACAGTATCGAACACATTGCAAGTGAAATGGGGGATCTTTTCTATTTATTTTAGAAAAAATAGATAAGAAAATAATGCAATGAAAAATGTATATTTTTTGTTACTAGAATTTATATTCTACATCCTGACTGCTGTACAGTAAAATGTTAAAGACTGCTTGAAACCCTGAATGCCTACTCTTTGTCCCCAAGTTTGATGTATTTATTTCTCTGGTTTGAGCAGGAGCCTGGAGGTGAGCTGGTGGTCCTGTCTGTCCACTGACTGCAGTGTCTCTGTGTCAGCAGTCATAGAGCCGTGATCACAGCGCAGCTCCCTCCGTACTCAAATGTGCAGCATGTTTCATTGCATAGAACTATTTAATCTCCACATAAAAACTTGTATTAGTTTTGTGAAAGCTGCGTGAGATACTCTGCAACTGTAAGGTGCAGTTTTCTTGCTGGGGAAATAGCAAGTGTAAACTCAGTATGATGGGTAGTGTTTCCAGACTCTGACCCAGAGACAATGAGACTGAGAGACACACCGGCCAACCTCCAGGACCATCCCTAACCCTGATGTCTAGCACTTATGGCAAAGAACAGCTTTAATGAGTTCAGATGAATATTAACTTAAATGAACCAATAAAAATATGAAGAGGAAATCTTGTGTTGAATGTTTTCTTGGTAAATAACTGTAGTTTTTAGTAGGTGTGATCCTTTACTCTGTAATCTCAGCCTGGCATTGTTCAGAGTCTCGGCTCGCTCTCCAGCAATAGTGTGTTGTACTGTAAGTGTTAGGGTTTTAGTGATGATGGGTCACTTGAACCGTGAGCGGTGGTGTCTTTTGGAAGACCAGTGATGAGTGTTCTTAGTGTGAGTTACCTGTGAAGCTGTCTCATAATGAATAGTAAGGTATGTTACCGAGTGTGGGAAAACGGCCTCTCCTTCCAACGACAGCTGTACTCTCGATCGATGAGCAAACGCAAACTAAACTGCAACACGATGGGTCAAGAGAATCACAGTGCAGAATTTTTCTTCTGCGGCTCTATTCGTCTTCCGATCTTTGCTCTGGCACCATGCAGCTATCTAATTAAAATATGAGTAAGACTGGCCAAGGGGTTCCTCAAGATGTATAATTTGGATTTGTAGTAAATGGAGGGTTAAGGTTATGGACAAGAAATCGTAACACTTTCTGGAATGAGAAAATGAGAGAGATCAATCAAATTAGCAGAGGTATGGCCATTAAAGGGTGTTCCTTACACTAAGCAGTGTTTTTGGTTAATTTACTTTCTATCCATTCCAGTCAGAAAATGATTTTTAACATTTAACTTCTTTCATCCATAAAAGTGTAAAGTTTCAACATTGAAGTCTTTTTTTTTTGTGGTAGGTGACTGAAACTACACACTATTGTGAGGTCTTAAAAATCTTAAGCATAATGACCATTGATTTAAATTTCACACATTTTTCTCAATGCCCAAGTATTTTGTTTGCTTTTTTATTGCTTCACCTTTTTG